TGGCAGGACTACTAAATATTAATTTGATGATGTGATGGTTTATTCATTTTTTGTTCAGTTTTGAACACATTCTCTGTTATTTGTTGACTTTGATACCGACAATGTTGAGAACTGACATATTGAAACTGTCAAGAATTTAGTTGTTAGTTTTTCTTGTAAACAATAAACAAAAAAATATAATTTGTATTTGTTTGTATCTGTCTAATGCAGCCACACCTTTTGAAACACAAAAAAGATTTTTCCACAAATATTTCATGATAATATTTGAGATTGTGTAAAATTTTAAGGGTGTCCGAAAACTTTTTTCCACCACTGTAGTATAGTATGTCGTCCAAAAACATGGAAAAAAAGTCACAGTATAGAATGTCATCCAAAAACATGAAAAACAGTCATAGTATAGTATGTCGTCCAAAATCATGAAAAAAAAGTCATAGAAAAGTGTTATGAGCCAGGTCATTATTTCTTGAGTATTGTTCTTGTTTTGATCTGCAGTGACCTTTAAGATGTTCTCTCTCCTCTTAGAGTGTGTGCATGTGGGGAAGTGTCATTGGTTGTTGCGAGGCAGGTGGTGAATGCTGATTGGGCTGGCTGAAGAAGATTGCTGTTGCTGGATTGTCCCACTGCAAGTCAGAGGGTTTTTAAACCTTCAGCTGACAGAAGCTCTTCCTTCCTTTCATTCTTCCACTGCTAACAAAGCCAGTACTTAGACTGTGTTTGTGCAATTGTTTGTAATTACCTGTAGGCAAAACTTGATTCTGGTAGACTAGCGTGTGTTTTTTGATAACCTGTTAATTAGGATGGGTATTTGATCAGTTTTTGGAGTAGGTGAGTTGAGATTTGTTTAGTGAGTTTACTGTGTATAATTACTAGTGGTATTATTTTGTGGAACACTGTAAATAGAACACTTAAATTAGATTTAGTAGGAGTGAGAAGCCCGTTTTGTGTGGCATTGCCATGTTCTTTTCTCCTGTTTTGAAAGGTAGGAATTTGGGTTAGAAAATTGTCTTTTGTTTCACTTTTCCTTATTGCTAGGTATGTCAATGGTCCATAAGTATATTTTTGTTTGTTGTTTTGGGCACTGCTCACATCCAAAGACAAAATAAACTCCTTCTTTGTTGTTTGAAAACTGTGTGACTGGCCTTTATTGGGAGTGGGAAGAGTGGGGAGTCACATCATGTTGTATCTGGGGTCCCCTAGACCGGAGACATAACAATAGCATGTCGTCATGATCATGAAAAAAATTCATGGTATAGTATGTCGTCAAGAATCATGAGATGAAGTCATAGTATATGATATGTCGTCAAAAGCCATGAAAAACTTCAGAGTATAGTATGTCATCCAAAATCATGGAAAAACATCATAGTATAGTATGTTGTGAAAAATCATGAAAAAACGTCATGGTATAGTATGTCATCCAAAAATATGAAAAACAGTTATAGTATAGTATGTCGTCCAAAAACGTGAAAAACAGTGACAGTATAGTATGTCGTCAAAAACCATGAAAAAACTTCATAGTGGTATGTCGTCAAAAATCATGAAAAAATGTCACAGTATAGTATGTCGTCAAAAATCATGAAAAAACGTCATAGTATACTATGTCGTCAAAAACCATGAATAAACGTTATAGTATGTCATCAAAAACCATGAATAGACGTAAAAGTGTAGTATGTCGTCAAAAATCATGAAAAAACATCATAGTATAGTATGTTGTCAAAAACCATGAATAAACCTCATAGTATAGTATGTCGTCCAAAAACATGAAAAACAGTCATAGTGTAGTATGTCGTCAAAAATCATAAAAAAACATCAAAGCATAGCATGTCGTCCAAAATCATGGAAAAAATGTCATAGTATAGTATGTCGTCCAAAATCATGACAAAAAGACATAGTACAGTATGTCGTCAAAAATAATAAAAAAAACGTCATAGTATAGTATGTTGTCAAAAATCATGAAAAAACATCATAATATAGTATGTCATCAAAAACCATGAATAAACGTCATAGTACAGTACGTTGTCCAAAATCATAAAAAAAGTCATAGTATATAGTATGTTGTGAAAAATGTGAAAAACAGGATAGTATGTCGTCAGAAATCATGAAAAAACGTCATAGTAGAAAACACGTCTTCAAAAACCATGAAAAAACGTCATAGTATAGTATGTCGTCCAAAAACAATAAAAACAGTCATAGTATAGTACGTTGTCCAAAAACAATAAAAAAAAGTCATAGTATAGTATGTTGTCAAAAATCATGAAACAAAGTCTTAGTATAGTATGTCATCCAAAATCATGAAAAAAAGTCATAGTATAGTATGTCGTCCAAAAACAATAAAAAAAAGTCATAGTATAGAATGCCGTCCAAAATCATGAAAAAACGTCATAGTATAAAGTATGTCGTCAAAAATCATGAAAAAACGTTATAGTATAGCACTCCTTCAAAAACCATGAAAAAACGTCATAGTATAGTGTGTCATCCAAAATCATGAAAAAAAAGGCATAGTATGGTATATTGTCAAAAATCATGAAAAAGCGTCATAGTATAGTATGTCTTTAAAAACCACAAAAAAAGTCATAGTATAGTATGTCATCAACATCATGAAAAAAAGTCATAGTATGGTATGTCGTCAAAAATCATGAAAAAAAGTCATAGTACAGCATGTCGTCCAAAAACATGAAAAAACGTCATAGTATAGTGTCGTCAAAACCATGAAAAAATGCCATAGTATAGTATGTCGTCAAGATTCATGAAAAAACGTCACAGTATAGTGTCGTCAAAAACCATGAAAAAATGTCATAGTATAGTATGTCGTCAAAAATCATGACAAAAACATCATAGTATAGTATGTCATCAAAATCCACAAAAAAATCATGGAAAAAAAAGGCATAGTATGGTATGTCATCAAAAATCATGAAAAAACGTCATAGTATAGTATGTCTTCAAAAACCACGAAAAACATCGTAGTATAGTATGTCGTCCAAAATCATGAAAATAAAGGCATAGTATAGTATGTCATCCAAAATCATGAAAAAAAGGCATAGTATGGTATGTCGTCCAAAATCATGAAAAAACGTCATAGTATAGTATGTCGTTAAGATTCATGAAAAAATGTCACAGTATAGTGTTTCTTCAAAAATCATGAAAACACGTCATAGTATAGTATGTCTTCAAGATTCACGAAAAAACGTCACAGTATAGTGTCGTCAAAAACCATGAAAAAAAAGTCATAGTATAGTATGTCTTCAAAAACCATGAAAAATCATAGTGTAGTATGTCTTCAAAAACCATGAAAAAATGTCATTGTATAGTATGTCGTCAAAAATCATGAAAAAAAAGTCATAGTATAGTATGTCGTCAAAAATCATGAAAAAAAAGTCATAGTATAGTATGCCAAAAAAAGAAAATCATTGTGTAGTATTAATATAAAAGTCATAGTATGGCAAAAAAGGTCACAGTATAGTCTGTGAGAAAAAATAAAAAATGTTAAAGTATAGTATGCCAAAATACAGTATGTGATAAAATTGTCATAGTTTGCCAAAAAAAAGTGTCAAAATAGTATGCAATATATATATATATATATATATATTTTAAAGTCATAATATAGAATGCTGGGGAAAAAAGTCATAGTCTTGGTATGCCCAAAAAATGTCACGGCATAGTAGCAGCAGTACTAGTCTGACTCTGAGGACAAGCTAGAGCAGTGAAAATATATTAAATATAGTGTACACTTTAACTGATCTTTGGTGGCTACAACTTGTTTTGCTGTTCACATCACTGAGTTTCCATGGCGGTAGCACACCAGTAATAATGCCTGCTTCTACACACTATGGGTGTCTCTAATGTGGGTAATACGCCAACTACAGATAAGTATCTCATACAACATCACTTCAGAGTCTGAACCATTCCTTAAAGTGTTTTCACTCATCTCTATTAGCAAACAAGACTAACTGTAGTGTGATTAACAGAACAACAGAGATCAAAAAGAGACATTCTGATGACACGTAGTATCAAACACCACACCAGTAATAAAGCTTCAACTTAGCTTGATGTAATTCTTTTATTTTGTACTGTTTTCCATGTCTTTACATCAATAAACTGATTTAAAAATGCTTTTGGTATCACCGGTATATTTAAAGTTTGGGCAAACTCACAGTTTGATCAAAGTCCATGTAGTTGGAGATGATGCGGACATTGGGATAAAAGACGTGGTTCTGTCGAATCACCTCCTCCAGGACGTCTCCAACACCAGCCGAGAAGATCAGCAGAGGGACCTGCTGCTCCGTCAGACGGTCAAAAAACACTTTGTAGCCGTCCCTAAAAAAAAAAATCCCACACACCACCCGTAAGACACAAGAACCAGTGACTAACTGAGAGAACATTTAAATGACATGGCATGTGAAAAGTTTGTATCATCCTGAGCAAGTGTAGACTCTTTTATAATATGTTGTCTAACAGTAAAACAAGAGGTTACATTGCTGTAATTTATGGTATGTTCAACATTTGATTTTACTGATGCACCACTTACTATTTTCCATTAATTCTAATTAATAAAACTATTGTTATGTTTTCATTTTATACAATTTTTGAATGGTCTCTGTGAGTGACAGCAGACAATAAACTTAGAATTTTCTCTGTAGAACCAGGCAGTAGTGGGAAAAGTACTCAGATCCTTTACGCCAGTAAAAGTACTAAAAGTACACTGTGAAAATACCTCACTATAAGTAAAAGTCCTGCATTTAAAACCTTACTTAGGTAAAAGTCACAGCTACATATGATGTTTTCCCAGTCCACTATCTTTAAACCACTATATGGTTTGTAATTTTTCATTTACTTTTTGGGTAATAAAAAACAACAGTTTTGTCAACAACTCGTGCGTCCTTCTTGCCTCACTGCCCGGTCTCTAACAGTGATATTATCAACAAAATGTACTTGTGGCATCAAAAGTAAAAGTACTCATTGTGTAGTAAAATGTTCCCTGTCAGTTTTACTATTATATGATGGTTTTGGATTAATGCTGCATTAATGTGTATGTTGCATTTTACAGGTGTAGATGTTTAAGGATGTGCTCATTTTAACTCCATTATATACTGTTGGCTGGTTGAGTCTGCAGCAATGCATTATATTCTATAAGATCATCATGTGTTTGTAGTGTGGCTTTCCTCTGTGAACCACTTATCTTGAAAAAGTCAACTTCTTATGATGTCAGAAAGACAGCTCTGTTTTCAGCTCTGTGATGATGCATTTTCCAGCTGATGCCAGAGGGTTTTAAAGAGATTATTTAGCTGAAAGGAGCAGCACGTTAAAGAACACGTCATCCTTCAGTTTATCAGAAAAATTCAAATTCACAAACGGCGTATTTGGAGAAAAATGGTTTTCACTGGATGAAAAGAAAATTAAAATTCACCAGCTGAAAGGTAACTTTTAACTGAAGCTGTGGGATGCATGTAATGAAGTTAAAAAGTACAAGACTGCATCAAATGAAAATGCTGTGAATTACAACTACCTAAAATTTGTACTTAAAGGAATACTTCACCTGATAAAAGACCATTTGTATATCAGTTTCTCTCTGTCTGTTACCTTGAATTTGTGGAGAAAAGTTTGTTTTTCCTGCATGCCTCCACGGCGAACAAAGAATCCAAAAAAGGCAAACATTCTTCATGAACTGAAGTGAACAGGGACCGTATATCAAAACATGTGTTCACAAACTCTCACACAAACATCGTTTATCCGGCCGTGTGCTCAGTACTTCCCAAACACATGCATTTTCGCTAAAACATTATGATTTAAATCAGTACAAACAGCATGCATGCTCAGGCACACTCAGGGCGTGCTAGTCGTGGGCAGAAGGATTTTAAATAGTAACGTGAGGAAAATACATGTTTGTGAAGTACTGAGCATACGACTGGATAAATAAGACTTGGGTTATACTGCACAAATTGTGTGAGAGTTTGTGAATACATGGTTTTATATGGTTTTGCTGTTGTTAAACCTGGTCCCTGTTTACTTTTGTCATTTGTCAAGAATGCTCAGGCATGCAGGAATAACATAATTTTCTTCACAAATTCAATGTACCATATGGAGAGTAACTGACAAACAAACGGTCATTTTGCAGGAGACGTATTCTTGTAAGTACATTACTCGAGCATATGTACTTAGTTACTTTCCACCACTGAAACCAGGGTCTTGGTAGGAGATCTGAGCACAGTGCCTACCTGAGCATAGCGCTGGACTCCTTGACAGCCTGGGCCAGCATGTCCTTCCTGATCCTCTGCTGAATCAGCAGCTCATGGACTTTAGTCCACCTGCAGAGAGCAGCACAACACAAATGCAACATCTCAGTCAGGCTTAGGTTCAAGTCACTTTCCTTTATTCCTCCTTTCATGAATTGGAGCTTCAAATACTGACAGTTAAAATGTTATCTGAGTTTTAATGGTCAACACAGCAGGCTTAAGTTTCACAGTATGTTTTAAAACATGATTTAAAGGTAGACATAAAAAACAGATATTATGTAGATCAGTCTGTTGGCATCTTACCACTCCACCATGAGAGGCAGCTTTTCTTCAGCAGTCCTGCTGGCATCAATCTCTATGGGATAGTAGGTGTTCAACAGCTCCCGCATCTGCAATGGACCAACAACACACACTGAATATATATTTACAGATCTTATCTCCAGTAGATTTATCACTATGTATTTGCTGGTCTGTGTTGCAGTGATGGGTGCAGAATTACAAGGCAGCAAACACTAATGTATCAAGCATGGTCTGAAACTACATTTTTTATTTGTAAATGTCACTGTGCGCAAATACAATCAGCCAAGGTTACTGTGGTGGAAACAATTTACTAGGGATAGACCGATATGGATTTTTTAGGGCCGATGCCGATTTTTTTCCATCACCCTTGGCCAATGACCGATTATGGACTGCAGATTTTCTTGAGCTGACATTTGGGGCCGATACTGCTTTTGCTCCCTCAATTTACATAAAAAAAATGACACAATGATAACAAATATTACAGGTCTCAAGTTTAAAATAAGAAACATTTATTGAACAGTAAAAAATACTAAAACAAGATGGAAAGTTGAGGTAGAACAGGTAGAATGTTATTATTATTATTATACATTCAAATAAAAAAAAGAGTTCAGTGCTCTTAAATCTTCTAGTAATGTCTTTATAAAATAAACAAATATTTAAGCTGAAGCATAAATAAAACAACAACTACTGTACACAGTAGGATTCAACAGCTTTGTTCAACTTAACCACATACTTTCAAATGAAAAAAAGTGCCAGGGAAAAATAAATCCGCGAACCCACGTGCGTATCCCGCGATGCCGATACAAGTAAAAAACTCAAATATCGGCCCGATATATCGGCCAGCCGATGTATCGGTCTATCCTTACAATTTACAGGTGTAAAATGGTAAGAGAAACTCAGAAAACAGTCAAAACTGAGCACAATTTAATCTATGAAATTAAACACAGTCCAAAAAAATATTGCGTATATTACAATAGCCATTTGAAATCATTAATCACAGTTTTCAGTAACCAAACTGTACTTATATGTGTGGCACCTTGCACATCATCCTACAAAACATGACAACAACTCACTGAATAAAAGTTAAAAAATAACATTTACTGAAAACAATATTCTTTAGCAAAAATACATCTTTTAGAATTTTTGTTGGGTGAACACTATCGCATGAAAACAATATCACTTTATAAGTTTAACCACCTAACATTTTTGTTGCTGGCTACCAAGGGTAGCAACACATTAGCGACTAGTTGAATCATCAAGCACATCCATGACCCAAACCCCTTATCTTTCAATCTGTACATTCATTAGTGACTAAATGACCGAAGCAAACTCACCTTTTTAGTGGAATCTTCATCGATCAACAACCGGTTATCCAGGATGTCTGGAAGAAAAAGGAAAACAGGTTTGTAACAGTATCAGACAGGCACAAGACAATAAAAAAGTAACAAATAATTTATTTTAAAAAAAGTAAAGAATGCACAGAATCAAAGCGAGTCAACTTGTAAAATATTTGGAGCTAACAAAGCAAAGGTGCAAACTCTACCACATCATGAAAAAACACTATTTGGCCAAGAAACAGAAAGTCTTTTCAAAAAGTCAAAGTGCTTACTGTGTGTGGTGGGAACTCTCTTTCCATTGTAGGCAAACCTGGTCAGCGTCATATCAAAGTCGGAGATTACCTGTGGAAATATGACCATTTAGAACATAACAACAGTACTGTACTCTGTCACTCAGCAAACACACAAAGTACAATTTCCCTTAGTTGACACTGTGGGCTCAAGGTTTACATTTGCATGTCTGTATGTACTGATAAAGGCTAACAACTCTTAGTTATTACTAAACTGAGCAGTTACGAACAAAAATTACAAAGACAGTAATCAGGAATCAGTCTTCCTGTGAGGTCTATGTATGTATGAAGATTCTGGCAATGGTGTAGTCGTCAAATCTGTTTCAGTTCCTGTAACATTTTATTTTAAATGTTCAGTGTGCAGGATTCAGGGCGATATATCTGCAGAGGTGAAAAAATAATATAAGTATGTTTTCTTTAGTGCATAATCACCTAAAAATAAGAACTGTTGTGTTTTTGTTACCTTAAAATGAGGCATTTATATCTACATAGGGAATGAATCCTTATCCATGGAGATCACTGTGTTTCACTGCCATGTTTCTACAGTAGCCCAGAACAGACAAATCAAACACCTTACAGAGTATCTTCTCTGCTGTTGATGAAAGTGATATCTAATTAGCTGAATATGAGCATTGGTTCTCAGATTGACTCCCAAGACGTCAATCTGAGAACTGACTGGCTCAGAATATATTCTTACTTCTGATGAAATACTGCACAGTTAACTCACCTGCAGGCTGCCTGCACCTGCCCGCTGCATGGCGTACATTGTCTCCTCCACTCTGCTGCGCTCCCTCATCAGCACCGAGCACTTGGCCAGCTCTGGGATCTGAACAGAAGAGTTTATTCTTACAATGCATGTTTATTTACATCCACCAACAAGTTTATATCAAGTTCACAGGTAAGTGTAGCAAAAGTCTTAAGTCAGGCATCATCTTTCTTTTAGCGTGTGTACGTTAAGACTTTTTTTCAATCAACCCAACCACCACTAAAACTAAAATAAATGTACTTGACACAACACAGGAACAAATAGTCATACAACTGAAATTTCATACTGGCATGACAATATTCCAAACTAGCTCAACCACAGCAGGTACAAGTTGACAAAACAAAACCAAAAAAAAAATCCACATTAAGATATTTTAAAGCTGGCAAAGATACTTCAAGCAATAATTATCTGAACTGAAACTTTTATTGTCTTTACTCAGGAGAGCTTCCTCACCTCAGTCTTAGTCAGCTGGTGCCAGATTGCCAGGACAGTCCGCACCGGTGTGTATATCCAGGGAACATGGTATATCTGCATGTAAAGCCAGGGAGAAGACTCATGTTGGTTATGCTTTAGTTTACAGGTTTGTAATCTTTCAGAGATGTTTTCCTGGATATAAATGGTAATTTGGTGCTCATTTTGTTTTGTTAAAAAGTCACTACAATTCAAGTCAAGTTGTTTAGATAAGGATAGAATAAACAAACAAATACTATATTATGGCTCCAACAAGAATGTTCATTTGGTGTAGTTCAACTTTCTATGAGAGAAGAGAATTCTTTAGGTTAACTGCAAAAATGTCTTTACAAGCAGACATATAAGGCAACATATATGGAAAATAAAGCTTTTAATAATAAAGGAAAAATATAATTAAAGAAAAATAAACTATAAACTATTCACATGGGTTTAAATTGTGCAGCTCCGCCTCGGAGATTTTATAAATAGTTCCAGCTCTTTCTTTATTTTTCACTTTTGCCCATCCCTACTTTAGGCTTAACTGACTGGCTAATTAGCATAGCTTACACCTTGCAGCCATACTTAACAATCCGTTAGCTGCTAAGCTAACTGCCTGTCAGTGCAGCATCGTTTCTGACGGTGTGTACTCAGTGGAATTACACACCGTGTTTCATTCACTACGCACTAACCTATAAAACACATTAAACGTCGTTGTTGCACCATTCACAGTCATAAAATATTAAAATGTACGTTTTAAAACTTCAATATTTTGTTACTGAGACAACACTGATTAGCTAACGCTGCACAGCTGGCCGGTACAACTCACCATCTTCAAACGGTAACTGACGTGTCCGCGAGCCGTTAACTCCGACTGACAACAACCGTTAGAGGAACATAACGTCAAACAACACGGTGTGTGGACTTAATAATACATGATAGAGTGTTAATAATGAAATAATATACAGTTTACAGTTGACTGGAGGTTTGGGTGTTTGTTTACACTATGTTTGTCACACTTGAAGCGTTCCCCCGATTCTACGAGGCCTAATAGACACAAGGTTCCGACGCACTTTGGTTCCTACTTCGCTGAGGGGTTTCCTCTCGCTGTGGCAGGCTGCTGCATCACATTACTTCTCAGGAAAATTCAGAAATTACTTGTCACTGAAAGTATCTTGAAACAGCCTTAAAAGTAGCTACGATAAAGTAAAACAATTCGAAGCCATCAACACTTTGCGGAATGTGTATGTGCTTTTAATTCTCAGAAACAGGGGCTTAAATATATAATCAGGACAATATATAGATTACAGCTCCAATGAGAAATATTTTAGTTGCTCTTTGTGCAGTCTAGGTAATAAAACTAAACTGTATCTCTACACTAGTAAATGTATTTCCTGCTGACAGCTGAAATTGCAAAACCTTGCTGAAAGTGCAAATGCAATGTATGTCGTTGCTGAAAAACCTGAAGACTAAATTGTAAAACTGAGTTTGAAGCCCAACTGCATTACCTAAAGAGGCTAAAAGCTGAAATATTGTACATTTCTGGGAAAAGCTGGAAGCGTAACTGTCAAAAGTGGAAGTTGACACCAAATTACATGGAAGATTAAAATAAGACATTAGTTGTAGTTTAAAAACATCTAAAAGGTAGAATAGTTGAATAAATGCATAAATATGCTTTAAGAGGATAAAGGTTTTGACATTTGAATGGTTTCTGACGGTAAAAGTATGCAGAATTAGAGGGCGATCAAAAAATGTGTAGAAAAAATAGAACTATTTTGTGACCTTTTCAAAGCTTAAATGAAGTCTTGAGATAAAAGCATGACGAGTAGTAGAGGTTTAAAGTAGAGTAGGTGGAAAATTTTATTTTTTTAAAATTTATTATAACTATTGAAAATTTGATATTACTAGTTAGTGCTTTTATTTTGAAAGTCAGCTTTGTCTAGGCCCCCTCCCTTTCTGTAAACCATATGGGGTCTTTTAATTTGAAAATCCAGCCTTGTCCATCATAGTGTAAATGCTGAATTAGCATGATTTCCAAAACTATAAATTGTTATGTAACTGTTTATATGGACCTCTTAAATCACCATAACTCGTCGTGACAAAATTAAAGATGCATAAATATCTTCATAGATGACAACAAACTCATATCATTACACATTATTTATTTCAAATGTCTGTACACTTTCTTGCTGTTGCACATACAAATGGAATGACATCATACCTAACACAGTACAAGGCTGCAGGAAATCTGAATATATGTCAGGCAAATCAAATCTGAAACCCTCATACACTACTGTCAATGATTTAAAATCTATGTTGCTGTCTGCTCTGCTCCTGTGGTCGTGTGCACTATACATGAGAAAAGTGTCTTAAAACCAAGTCTTTAAAATTCAAAAACTCCACATGTATCTGATCATATTAGTCCCATTCAATAATTAATACTATTCACATTGTGTGCAGTATGTTGGTGGAAAACTGGTGGAGAGCTTGGCTGTAGTTAACACAGGCACTAGCAATTTAAACAGTAATGGAGAGATACTGAGCTCAGCGACTGGTCCACACAACACTGTGCTCTTTAAAATACGCAACACTGTACAATGTTTAAGTTAACATTCAAGGTCCTTTAGTGCAGGAAATACAATTATTTCAACTGTATTAATAAGAGACAGCTGGAATATCATGGCACAGTTTAGAACATGGAGAGAACCATGCGCAGAAGCATATCACCCTCCTGGTTTAATGTGTTTCACACATCTCATAGTGCTGTGAGAGGAAGTTAGAGGCAGAGTAAAGTCTGCAAGATGCACACAGGCAGAATAAGCCAACAAACAAAATAACACCACAATGCCGAAGAGAATAAAGCTTCTTTTGCCAAAATGTACGTCTCATCATTATCATGGTGGCCTATCTCTTAAGCTACGCAACAACATGGGAAATTATATAAAGCAAGTTTTGACCAGCTGAAATATTTAAGACATAATAAATCACACAAATTTAAACACATCCACAGGAATGAAAAAGGGTGTTGTGCACTCTGTGAGAAACTGTTTTAATGAGGGGAAACATGTAATCAACACCCTCTCCCCCAATATGTGCTTTGCTCAACATTTAACTCTTGCTACAAATACTATGATATATGATTGTCTGTTTCAAGTGGGGCACACACACGACATATACACTACACACAATCAACATTAAGATATTTCAATCCTTACAAGTGCAAAAGAGCATGATGGGAAACTGGAGGTAGAAGAGAAATTAGATGCAAGCAGCAAGAGGAGTAAAAAGTTAAAGCTCAGCCGGTTGTTGCAGCAAGTTTGTCATCAACACACTTAATTTCCCACTAACTCACATCACAATAAACGTAGACATCATTTACATTTACATGTTGTCACTGATAACTGTCTTAGTTATATTCTATCTTATAATCAAACCACAACACATGTTGACATCTTTAGGTTTTAACATAGACCACATATAAAAAGTTAAGTTGCTCAGCAGTGAGATTAACCATCGAATCACAGTTTCATTTACTAGCAAAATAAAGGTAAGGCATAAGCTAATCATGTAAGGCCGAAAGTATAATGTAAGACTGATCATCTGGTTGCATGTCTGACTGATAGGGATGTCAGTAACAGTTAATTTTGCTTGCGACAGCCCAATACCCATTAAAGGCTGAGGTTCAATCAGGAAGACTTTCTTCACAATTGTCTCCATCCCACTCCCACTGCTTCCTCTAATCAGCTGACTATGGGTGTTCGCTCTTTAAGTTATCCAATCAAACTTCACCACGATCTCTATCAGCCGTTCAGGTGTTGCTGTCAGCGGTCATTTTAGGCAGAACTGTCGCACCCTCTTTCACCCTGTTCACCTCCAGCCATCGTATCCAGAGTCCAGGACGAGCTCAACAAACTCATCCCTCTACTCATCCAGATCGTCAGCACTTCTCCATCTTCCTCTCATCTCGTCTTCACCACCTCTACCACCACCAGCGTCTAGACCCCGGGGGGGGTTCCCTATTCGACTACGGATTCATCACTCTCCTTTAATATATACCATCTTGATGAGGTCTAATCACCAAAGACTTTCCACATTTTTTCCATGAAAGACAAGTCTCTCCTGATTGAAATAAGCAGAGCCACTAGCTAACTCCCACTGGACCTAGTTGGTGCACAGAGCAGCAAACACCAGTAGTTCAAACTGGTTTCGTGCAAACCAGCTCCAGGTAAACCCATGCAGACAAGGCAATAAAATAAGATACATGTCTTGCGGTAGAAACAACCCATTTATCAGCAGATTAACCCTGAAATGAAGGACTTTTACGTACAAACAAACGTCCATAATATTTACACCTTTGCCAAACGAGTTCACACAGTGCTGATTAAGCCTATCGTGGACAGGGAAAGCTCTCTGTGAGGCTGCACAACTAAACTAACAAATACTATTGAAATTTCAATATGGCCAAGAACAATATCTGAATCGCAGGAGCTGCAATTTTTCAACAAAGGTAAAAGGTGTCTTAACATACCATTACAATGAGAGATGACCCGGCCCATAAATCATATTCCAGACATAAGGGAACATGCTTGTTTGGTACAGACCCCAGAAAAAAAAAATCACATCATCATCGTATTTTTTTTCCAGTGAAAATTAATTGCATATATTACTGTTTACCCACTGAAACTGCAACTCATATCGCAATTTTTTTTAATGGCATGTCATGCAGCCCTCTGAATTTTGCAGCATACCGGAGTTGTGTTGTCTGGTGTCTGCTGCAACTGTACGACACTGTTTTATGTCAACCAGACAAAACTAAAGGGGACAGGAAGTGAAGAGAGAGAGACCATAGCAAAAGAGCAGCAGTTAGAGGTATGGCAGAAGCTGTGGTGCCAGATCTGAAGAAAAGTGTCTGGTGTGGATGCTCCAGGAAAAAAAGAGTTCAAAGGAAGGATTAAAGAAGGCAAGAAAGACTTGAGGAGGGTGCTCCTGGGGGCGGGGGAGATGTGGCGAGCTCAACTGCAGGCATAGGTCATAAACACATGATGGCAGTGTTTGTGTAACTTCTCTCACTCCCTGAGAGGAGAGACAAAAGTTCCACACTCCGGCTTTAAGTGCAGACAATTCGAGGCTCTCAGCATTCAAGGCTCTCAGCATTCGATCTGAGACTGCAGCTGTCTGCGCAGAGTGAGCGTGCGGCGATGGAGCTGCTGCATCTGCTGCATGCGGTCTCGCTGGCGAGCCAGATTCTGGGGCATGGGGTAGTGCTGGCAGCCGTGAAGGTAATGGTACGGGATGCGAACGTGGCAGGCTGCAGCTCGGCAGCGTGGCTGGGGTATAGGCGGCAGCAGCATCCAGCGCTTCCTCTCAGCGCAGTAACGGTAGGCCTCCTTGCGGTACTGCTTGTCCATGTTGTTGCAGTTCCTCCACCCGCCAATGATGAATATGTCTTCACCCAGGTAGCAGACAGCAGCGCCCTCCATGCTGAGGACCTCTGGGGGGAGGCTGTCGAGGATTTCGTCAGAGATGTTTCTGCTTATTTTCTGCTGAGCTGCCTCGGCTGTTATCTTGTAGCTCTTAGCGCAACAGGAGGCTGTGTGGTAGAAGTTGGTGTGTGCGACAGCCATTTGAAAACTGCAGTAATTATCAATGAGTGGTAAGGAGTCCACTTCCTGCCACTTGTGACTCTCTGTGTCGTAGCAGGAGGTCACAGTGCTCAGTCCATCGTCATTGTCCATGTCTACAGGAGTCCTGGCCATCACGTATATGTAGCGGTTCTCCACGCTTATTGTTTTCACATCTCGTAATATCTTCGGCGCCGGCTCGAGATTGTGCCACTCGTCCTGCTCAGCTTCGTACACAGTGACATCTTTAAAGCCTGGACTGAAGTTGCCATGACCACCGATGCTGTAGAGCAAGTCTTTGACACACGTGAGGCCAAAGGAGTGCTTGCGGGTGGTCAGGCTGCTGACCTGCTCCCAGGTGTTAAGGTTGGGGTTGAAGCGCTCCACCGTCTTGGCGAAGCCTGGCTCCATTGAGCCTGCCACGTAAATATGGCTGTCAGTGACTGCGATGGCGTGTCCGTCAAGGTGGTTGTGAATGTGTGGCAGGTTCACCCAACGGTCCTCTGCAACAAAGTAGCCCACACACTCACTTAAATAGTCTCCACCTTCTGAAACACCACCCACCACCATGATAACATCCATGTTCTGGCCAAGACGAGGCTGGGTTGCCGCCATGTTGGAGGCAGAGAGCTCTAAATCAAATGATTTGAGGTTCTCAAAGTGCACGGCGTGGACCTCAAGGGCGTCAGACACCAGCTGCTGACAAGTTGCACTGTCTGCCACTAAGGGCTCCTTCCTCACCACCCGTGTCAGGTAGGTTGGAGCAATCTGAGGCAGCCTTATAAGTCTGAACAGCGCCTCAAAATGCGTCTCTCTCTCCTCTGTGTTTTGGTTCACCCATTTCACTATGGCCTCGAACAACTCCTGTTCAGAATCCACAGTGATTCCTGAGTCTGACAGCCAGTCCCGCACCAAATGAAAAGGCAGTGTCAAGAACTCCTCATGGCAGATAATTTTGTGGAAGTTTCTCCTAATCATCTTGGCGGCTCCCTGGGCCAGCTGGTCCAGGGTGTACATGTGGGCGAGGCTGTGCACTGCTACACAGTTGGAAAGGTTCAGCTTCTTCATCAGAAACTCTCCGCAGAAGCTCTTCAGCTGCACCAACAGGAACCTGTGTGAACAAGTTTTAATTATCAGACCAGTAATAAATAAAAAGAAGTTCAGACAGGATGAACTAAGCAGTAAAAGTAGATGGAACAAAAGCCTGCCAACAGTTCACTGAAATATTAGTCACCCCTCACTATCTAAAATAAAAAGTCATATTCTGTCAAAAAACTGTGTAGAACATGGATTCCCACAGGAAACCAAGACACTCTGTCTGCTAGAAAACCTTTTACGTACTGTAGTGTTTCACCTCTGTGTTTTTGCATGCTTCTCTGACCTTAAAGGTTCTGTGTGTAACGAAGAAAAGAAAGATAGACAATTGCAGAGTCTCATTCCAGGGTCGTCAAGTACTGGGTGCCATGCCATTGTTGCGATGGCCTAAAATTCTGAAGCCCCATTTGTCAAAAACATGGCCCACTGGACAAGAAGTCCATTTCTCCAACAGCGTGTTATCCCAAAAACAAACACCCATTGCTCCGCAGGCCAGTTTCTTCAAAAATACACACTCCCTTCAGTAAGTCTTAGTTTTCCCAGCAGCGTTTGAGCCTCTGATCTGGGGTGCTCTTGCCGAAACCTTCGTGGCGCTTTTTAGTGGTGTTTGAGCCACCGATACCAGGCGTCTTCGTGGTGTTTCACAGCAGTATTTGAGCCAAGGAACCCAGCTGTTTTTCACCGACCCATCCCTGCTTTTCCAACAACCACCAAGTATGGGTCTTTTAAGCCAAGTTTTAGGGCTGCTGCGAGACAGAAAAGTTTGTCTTGGGTGCGTCCGTACAGTAGACAAACAAGAGAGTATGGCAGAGGAGATATCCACACACCAATGTAACTGTCTGCTGTCATCACTGCACTGATGGAAGTCAAAGACTGAAATGTTTGCTGCTGTTTTTATTCAGTCGTTATTTTTTTTTGCACTCTGAGCACCTTTTTTGTGCCTGGATGTCTTGAATAATTTGACTATTTTTGCATTGATCTCAGCCAGTGGACCGTTTTGTGGCTTTCTAGCACAGTTACACTGGTGTGCAGGTATTTCGTCTGCCGTCCTTTCTTTTAAGCCAAAACATGATCTTTCCCTAACCTCTACCAAGTAGTTTTAGTGTCTAAACCAAACCACACCTTCACCACAGCTTTGTTGACAAATATATATCCATGATTCACAGAAATGTACAATGCCAGCAATTTTTTCTGGTGATTGGGTTGTCCAACTGCAGGGAATGAGTACCATAGAGAAACGAGACTTCAGAGCAATGGGTGTTTGTTTTTGGGATAACAGGCTGTCGGAGAAATGGGCCTTTGATCCAATGGAACATTTTTTAGACTAACTGGTCTTCCGAACTTTAGGCTGTCAGAACTATGGGCAGTCCCTAAATACCAACACTTTGGGTTGGTAGTCAAACCGAACCACCAAGAGATTCAACAATCAACTATCCTTCTCCAGAGTTATGTAGCGCACTTTGACTTGCACTTGTCAGTGTTTTTACTTGGGTTGCAAAGAATATCTAACTTCTTTAGTGCTTGTACTCCCCTACCACACAGCATGTACTTTTGGGGCCACATGTGGCAGCTACCTAAAGTTTTTCATACACATAGGTCACCGCAACCCTTACCGTAACCATGTCTTGATGATGCAATCAAATATTTTAATCTATTAAATGCAATGAGGATCAATGATGAACAGTGCATAGTAAGCCTTTTTAACATCACACATTTTGACTCACAGCAGTGAAAGCAAAGGTGTTACTAGTAATATTAACAAGTGCCCCAGTGAACCATGACAGAGAGACAGTGAGTCAGCATGCACTACACCAGGATCCTGACACTGAATCAGCTATATGGAATTGATTCGTCGTTAACTTTAGTATTTCCACTGCTTTTCTAAAGTTCTATTTTTATTCCCCAAAACAAATATTTTGGGAGTGTTGTGGCTGGCACACCCTAATCAGTCCTCAAAACAGGTTGAATTGGGCGTACCATGGGTGTGTAAGGCACGTAACAGCAAACAAACATAATGCATAACTAGCAAAATGAACCACATCTAATCCCAGTGATTCACTCTGGTAATAGTTTTGCTGTTCTTGCCATTTTATAGATTAATTAATGATGAAAATAATAATGAAAATAATAACTAGTTGCAGCTGTAGATATGGGTCTCAGGTATTTGGGTGCTGTGTCTACGATTTCCACCAAGGACTTGAGTACAGAGTCATCGCCCTGGCAGCAGGACTAGTTCACTGCCTGCAAGATTCGGGATTTATCCTGGCTTTATATGAGAAGAGGAAATCGTCGCTCGTCGCTAGGCTAATTTGGCTAGTTTGGTATGAGACAGTTGTTTTCTTGGTGAATCTTGTGAGTTATAATGGAGCCTAATTTTGTAACGTTACCTTTGTTAAATGTTGCTGTTGTCCCTGGCTTTATATGGGTAGAGGAAGAGGTCACTAGCTGCTAGGCTAATTTATACAATGTAAAATGCCATATAATTGTGCTAATAACGTTAGCATGTCATGTTTGTTTGGAAAACGTGTTTAGTATAAGACAGTTGTTTTGTCAGTGACTCGTGTGAGTTGTTACAGAGCCAAACTATGTACCGTTACCTTTGTTAAATGTTGTTCTAGTCCCTGGTTCTATATGAGAAGAAGGGAATATCGCTAGTTGTTAGGCTAATTTATACAAGGTAAAATGCCATAGGTTTGTGCTAATAACATTAGCATGTTGTATTTGTGGGGGAAATGTGTCCAGATAAGGACAAGCGCTTTGTCTGTGAATGCTGTGAGTTATAATGAGGTGGATTTGTGTACTTGTGTTTGAAATCTTTGCTATTAAGCCATGTTTAATGTGTGTTTTGAATCAACTAAACTTTACAGCACTTCACAGAAACCTCCGCTGCCGACTAGTGTTTTGGAGGTGTAACTGCAGAGTTACACAGACAAACCACTGCACAAGTATAAATGTTCATAATGGCGTAGGCGACATGTGTAGGGTCAGTTAGCAAAAGGTCAATTCTTTTTGCAAGGTGGGGCCAATAGTGTCAGAGGGGCCATGGCCCCCTCTTGCAGGCACCCCTGAGTGAAGGCCTTTGGCTGATAATTGGGCCTGTATACATGTCAAAAGCTCTTTGCTGACTACTTTACTTAAATAAATTCTCTAACATGAGGTGTCAAGTTCCTCAGGTGTGTAAACTAAAACAAGTCACACTTGCTGGTGTAATGAGGACACTGACAAGGCGTGTCTCTTTACCTGTCGGAGCAAAAACCTGTAGGACAACTGTCCAACACTTCCGTGTATGAGGAAGTGGGGAGATAATGTTCATATTGTGATGTATGGTGTGAAAATAATTTACCTGTCAGCAAGTTCCAACACCTCATGCACATTAGCAGTGGTGACTCTGATCTGTCCTGTGTACATGAACTGTATGACACCCTCCACGGTGTCCGGGTCTGGCCCCGCAGGTGAGCTCCACTCTCTGAGCTCCACTCGTCCCGACACGGACTCTGAGTACTGTCCGCCCAGCAGCAGCGTGAAGTACTGCGACGCGGCGGACAGCACCGAGCGGTGGGCGGATAAGGTCTGGACCCTCTTCTGCTCCGACACCCTGCCGGAGCTGAACACCAGCGTCACGTCGCAGAACAGCCCCGACTTCCTCTGCTCGTTCTGCCGCCGGGAGAGCTCCGAGCAGTAGGCCGAGCAGATGAACTCCTCGGCCTCCTCAGGTTCCCTGTCACCTGTTAGCGCTCCGCCGCTCCGGTCCTCCGCCGCTTCTGCCGCCGCTGCCATACCGCAGCGGGATAGACTCAGAGGCAAATGAAGGCTCTGAACTATCTTCGGGAAGAACTCGTAGGCATAAATAACACACGTAAATAAACATTCAAAAACTGACATGCATGCGCAGCTTTCACGGACCTGGTCGGGAACAGGAGTGCTCACTTCCGTCTTTAAACGTAGTGGATCACAGCTGGAGAGTGAACGGGAGGCTCACACATTCAGGCTGGTATCTACAGCCACACTTGACATTAACAGTCCGGGCGCATATATAGGGAAGGCGGACATGTTATCGATTTTTTGACGTTGCTTTGACGCATTAACACGTCTTTATTTTGAGGGAAATTAAACTTTGTTGAAGGGATGCGCCGCTTTCGCGCATGCGCATTGCGACTGATCAAACTGCTGGTGATGTGCAGTTGTGCTGTTGCACCCAGTGCCGGAGCTAGAAAATTCAGCTCCCTATGCAAGCCACCCCACCCCAAAATAATATTATTATATTTACATGTATTTGATACATTATTATAGATATTGTATTTATTAAAAACAAGAAGAGCTAATGGAATACACATCTTAGCTGACAAACAATGATCAACAATAAAATACAGTATGTGCAAATTTCAGCTTCCGCTTTTTTGAGCAGTTTTAAAGGAACACTTTACCTGCCAAATGGCAATTTGTATATCAATTGCTCACTGCATGTTACCATAAACTGGAAAGAAAACTTGGGTGTTTCTTGCATGTCTCCGGAGTGAACGGAGAATACAAAAAGGGCAAACATTCTTCACGAACTGACTGACAGATAAGCCGATAACCTAACATGATTGCAACAGGTATGCTCCTCTGATGTAATCAAGAGAACATAATCAAATCAGGAAAGCCTGAGAAAGCTACGACTGATTTCCCATCATTTTGTCGTCTGAGTATACATATAAGGATGCCCTGAATTCACTGTTCTGGGAAGGTTGCACTTTATCTGTAGAGAATAAACAAAGAAACACAACTCGTGCACAAAGCTATTCAGTGTTGTTTGCTGACTCCCAAGCAGGATTGGCTAAAATTGCTACGACACTCATGCAGTACAATCCAAGAAATCTAATGTATGCAGTCGTATGCTCTGCTCAAGTGGAGCTTATTAGGCACAGGCGTTCTCAAGCACGCAGAGCACCCCACTCACAGGTGGAAGTGTTTTATTACCTCCGCCAAGGTTATGTTTTTGCCGGCGTTTGTCTGTTTGTCTGCAAAATAACTTGAAAAGTTCTGAACGGATTTTGATGAAATTTTCAGGAAAGGTTGATAATGGGACAAGGACCAGATGATAAAATTTTGGTGGTGATCGGTTGAAGCGAAGTGGATAAAATAATAAAATAGCGGGAAATCCGAGCTGCTTGGCGGAGGTCTGCGCTCTCCGAGCGCTCTAGTATTTTAATGTTTTAGCAAAAAATGCTTCTGTTTGGGATCATTGAGCAAACGAACTAATAAGACCTGGAATATACTGCATGAGTTGTGGGTTTGTAAGCAGATTTTACGATATGGTTTTACTGGTGTTAACCCTTTGTGGTCAAGGGTTTAAATGCTTTAGACTACACCTTTAAAAAACTGTTTACCTTGCCTTGTTTGGTGTCATTTTTTTCAGCACAACCTCACCTGTGTGACTTTATGGTTATTTTTTCATTTTGACAAACTGTATTAACACATTGGACCTAAAATCACACAAAAACACCACCAATAGGAAAGGAGGTGTCAAGTTTTTTTGCTTGCAAGCACTTTGTTAGAAAAGCCCATTTTTACCGTTTGTCACTGCACCAAACGTCACGACAATATTCAGGAAAAAGCATGGCCTAAATTATTTATCATTAGTCTGGTTTGGTATATAGTTTGAAGTTCGCATTTTCGACACAAGTTGAAACGGAGACTCTACGAGGCCGCGTCTCGCTGCTACGTCATCTTAAATCGGTCATGTGATTTGGACACACCGGCGCATCCGTGGTCTCCAGAGGGTTAAACATGGCCTCCCTTGACTTCAGTCTATGAGGAATGTTCACCTGATTTGGTTTCTGAAAAAAAAATGAAGTAACTGATATTAAAATGTTGAAGATAAAGTATTCTTTTAAGCCCTTACAGTACTTTTGCTCTCGACTCAAAATAACCCCCATGTTCATTTGACCTTGGTGATGGCTCTTGAATCCTAGACCAAATCATTTATAAGCAATCATTTTCCTGCTAAATATTGAGGGTATGAGGGAGTAAGAGCAGAGGGGGGCATACCTGGGATGCCACCACCAACTTCACCCCCGGCATGGCTCCAACTCAAACCCACAATCACAGGTTTATGCAACAATTGGCCTGTTAAACTCCACCTCGATTAAAGTTAGGCAAGTTTTTCTCCTCTTAGTTCCTTCTCTCTTCCCCCATCAAATGTGGGAGTGGGGGGAGGGCAGAGTGTATGTCCCGGTGTGGCAAAGTCCAGTTCAGTCCTCACATAAGTAGCTCCTTGGCTCTGCCTTCCTGACCTCCCTGTAACTCTTCTATCTACCTTCACTCTTTCCTACTTTTCCATCCATCTAACCCTTTGGCTCCCACTCGGACCCCCACACATATGTGCATCAGGGAGTGTGACATTTAGTCCTAAACTGAAATGAAAGACTGAACCAACCTCTCATAACTATTCTACGAAAGGGCAATTCTTCGGGGGGGTGGGGGGGTGGGGGTTGTAATAACGGCCATCACAGGACTTGTTTTAGGCTCGTCATCTCTCTTCGCAGATCACACTTCTTCACCTAATACAGATTTAGACATTACGCACAAAATGAAAAGTAAAACAATAAGTTCTTTATTATTATACTACTATATGACAGCATATTACAAAAAAACAAAGCATTTTTTTCACAGTTAAATAAAAACAGCAAAACATAGATGAAACACAGCAGGCCGTACAGTGGGCGGTTACGAAGCGTTTTGAGTTGGTGTCAAGTCCCCAGTGAAAGTCGAACGATTCTATTACAGAGTCGTTTATTATTTTTATTATTAACTGTGTTACGTGCAATAATTTCCCCAAAGTGAAGCAAACTGCTTTCATGGTCCCTCGCCACAAGATGCTTTTAAAGACTCACAGGGCTCATTCATGAAGCAGCCTCTACATTTTCCCGTGTTCTGACAGAAGAGCAACACAAGTAGTTCGATCCATCACACCCAGTGCGAAAGACTTGAACACCTCAAATCTGCATCTAATTTACAGTAGCTGATGAAATTCAACCACCGGTTTACAACCAGGGTTGTTCCAGGAAAGGCAATAGTGGAGTGAAACTTGTTTAATTCCTTCATCATATGATGATGCCTCCTTTTCAATACATCTAGATAAGCTCTGTAACATCAACCCCTGGACCCTTTTTTTACTTTTAACAAAGACAACAAATTCCCAAAAATAACTTTGGTTTATCTCGTGATGACGAAGAACTTTCCAGAGGGAGTGTAACTTGGAGAAAGACATGGTTTGCTAGTGTTTAAACTAAGGTGCGATACTCAGAAAGCCAGAAAAGCATAATTAAGCACACTTTCTTGGAGCCGAAAACAGGCAAATGCTGATTAAAGTAATCAATTTTTATTATTTTTTGCAAGTCGTATGAAGAAAAGGCATATTTTTGTATTACTGAGTTTAAATAAATTTGACATCTGCAGCTGTTACCTCAGCAGACTGCGCTACACAGCAGTGAAATGTGCTTTAAATTCTGCCCTTTTTTTGTTAAGTACCAATTTATTTTGTGCTTCTGCAGCTGCTGTAGTTTACATTGCTTTGGGTCTGTGGTCAAAACTGAATAAGTTACATCTCAAGACTTTTAATAATTAGACAAAAACTAAATCTACAAGTATTCTTCCCCTTTTTCTCCGTGAAAAACTACATCAAAAAACTTCTACCAGATCCCTCAGCCAGACAGTACTTCCATTTTCCACAATCACCCTGCTCAGTTTTCCCCAAGGCCGCTGTTGTCACAACCGGAGTGTACAAATACGTTAAGTGAGATGTGTAATGCTGCCTGACACATCTGGAAGAGCGTCTCTCCCTGTGGGGATTACATGGACATATGCTCAGGAAGCACATAGGAGATGTCGTCCCAGGGATGGCGGTACAGACCCTGTTTCAGCCTCTTCTGGTCCAGGTAATGCCCTGACGTGAGACACACACTAGTTAGATGTCTTGTTTTGGTACTTTGAACTTAGTGTCATGGTTCTGTCTGAGTGGCACTCACCGATAAAGCCCATACTGCGGCCGAGGACAAAGATCCCATTTAGTGCACCGATCTCCACAAACTCGTCAGCCTCATCTCTGGAACCAGTTCAACATTCATATGAGAGACAATACTGGACAGTGTGCTCGCCAACAACACAGAAAACAGGCAATGCACTTTTGGCATCCAAATATTTTAACTGAATAAAGTGTTTATAACATACAAAAGCATAATATGTTTTTCTGAATTCACAAGATAATAATGTCATTAATACATTAAAACAGGGATTTTTTTTTTCTCAACACACTGCAATGAATTCATAAGCACATAAGTGTTACTTAATAGACGTTTTCGGACCAGAGAATCTTTTTCATATTTCTAAGAATCCCCCTTTTTATTGTGTCCGCACTGCAAGAGAGGTAACACTTTACTTGAAGGTATCTACATAAAGGTGACATGACACTGTCATAACTATGACATGACACTGTCATAACTATGACATGACACTGTCCTGAACTTGTCATAAACATTATGTACACGTCATAAACGTTTATGACTGCTGTCATTAAGTGTCATTCGGTTTTTGTAATGACAAGTTGACACTGTTTGGGATGTCCTTATTATGACAACTTGACATTAATCAGAGTGACATTACCAGAAGTTGTCTTTGTCATGACAAGTTGACATTAAATTTGTTTGGGATGTCCTTATTGTAACAACTTGACATTAACCACGATGACATTACCAGTTTGTCATAACAATATTTATCATTATGTCAACTTGTCATAAACACAAAAAGAGGTGCATTTCTTGAACCTGTCATGAACATTAAGTACATGTTATAAACGTTTATGACTGCTTTCATTAAGTGTCATTCGGTTTTTGTAATGACAAGTTGACACTGTTTGGGTTGTCTTGATTATGACAGCTTGACATTAACAAGAAATGCAGCTCTTTTTGTGTTTATGACAAGTTGACATAATGATAAATACTGTTATGACAAACTGGTAATGTCATCCTGGTTAATGTCAACTTGTCATAATAAGGACATC